GACTGTGTGTCAAAAAAAAAACAAAACAAGAACCACAACAAATCAAAAACTGAAGCCAGATTCCATAGTGTACATCCCTAGTCTCAGCTACTTGGGAGGGTGAAGTTAAGGGAGCAATTAAACCCAGGAATTCAAGCTCAGTTAGGGTCACCAACAAGCCATCCCTACCATAAAAGAAAGCTGGATAACAAGTACAGCTAGTTTTTACTGATAGAGCTATTGAGGGCTCTGAGAAAGTACAGCAGAGAGACGAAGGAACGTGAATGTGAAGTCAAAGGAGGGATGATTCACCATAAATCTGGTTTTAGAGATGAAAGCCTTCAAAACAAGCATGGCCCTCCCCAACCCATTATAGCTGTGGAGCTCAACACTTTGTTATTAACTCTCCTTAGGCTTTTACTCACCTCACAACTGTCTTCTCCATGTGCTGTGAGTGGTATAAACATGGAGTAATCTGTCTTGTTTCATTTTAGATAGTCTTAAGAGTATAGCGTTGAACTCAAGACTCTCCAGTGCTGCTGAGTGTAGTATAGACCACCACACTAATTGGAGGAGGCTTTTTTTTTTTTTTTCTTTTTTTTAAAGATTTATTTTCAGGGCTAGAGGGATGGCTCAGCAGTTAAGAGCACTGACTGCTCTTGCAGAGGACCCGGGTGCCGATTCCCAGCGCCCACACGGTGGCTACAAACTGTCCTTAACTCCAGTTTCATGAGGATCTGACACCCCCCTCTGACCTCTGTGGCACTGTATGACATGGGTGCACTCACATACATGCAGGCAATATACTCATACACATAAAAAAAAAATTTAATTAAAAAAAAAAAGAAAAGCACTGGCTCCTCTTGCAGAGGACCTGGACTCTGTTCCCAGCACTCACATAGTTGCGAAGAACTGCCTATACCTCCAGGGATCTGATGCCATCTTCTGGCCTCTGTGGGCATTGCATGCATGGATGCATTATTTTCGCTGGACGTGGGGGCACACGCCTTCAATCCCAGCACTCAGGAGGCAGAGGCAGGCGGAGCTCTGTAAGTTCAAGGCCAGCCTGGTCTACATAGTGAGTTCCAGGACAGCTGGGACTACAGGGAGACCTTGTCTCAAAAAGACCAAAAAAAAAAAAAAAATTATTTTCATTTTATATGTGTGAGCCTTTTGCCACTCTATATATGGGTATGCACCACATATGTGCCTGGTCAGAAGACGGCACTGGATTTCCAGTAACTGGAGCTACAGGTGGTTGTGAGCCTGATGGGGATGCTGGGACCCAAACCTGGGTCCTCTGTAAGAAAAGCAAGTGCTCTTAACTGCTGAGCCATCTTTCCAGCCTCAATTTCCCAGGCACCTAACACAAAAGCTTGATGAGAAGGGCACAGGCATGTTTGTGCTATATGCAGACAAACCACCATTAATCCATTAATGGTGAGGGTATTCCTCAAGTTTTATTTCTGGTAATATTTGATATTAATCCCTAAAAAGATTTGTCAAAGAAAACACAGCCTCTGAAAATAACATGGGCCCACTAATATAAACTCTTGCAAAAGAATCCAGATAAATTATTAAGAGATAATATTTTGCTTTGTTTTGTTTTGGGGGACAGGGTCTCATCCCATGGCTGACCTGTAACTCACAGTATAGATCAGGCTGATCTGAAATTCAGAGTACCACCATATCTGGCATAAAGAGGTGCTTTTTTTGGGGGGGGGGTCTTTTTGAGACAGAGACCCTGTAGCCCCAGCTGGCCTAGAACTCACTATGTAGACCTTGCTGGCCTTGAACACAAGAGATACACCTGCCTCTACACCTCCTGAAAGCTGGGATTAAAGGGGTGCACCACCACACCCCTGTTGGTCTTTTTATGAGGGTCTCAGGTATCCCAGGTTGGCCTCAACTTACTATGTAACCAAATATGATCCTGAATTATCTTTCAAAAAATCCTTTACTTAGGTTTTATTTATGTATATTATGTGTGAACCTGTGTGAGTTTATGAGGCTGCAGAGGACAGAAGACAGGATTCCCTAGATCCCCTGAAACTGGAGTTACAGGTGGCTATGTGCTGCCACGTGGGTGCTGAGAACTGAATCCAGGTCCTTTCCAAGAGTACAAGCTCTGAACCACTGAGCCATCTTTCTAGCCCCTAATCTTCATTTTTATTTATTTTGGTCTTTTTGAGACAGGGTCTCTCTGTAGTCCCAGCTGTCCTAGAACTATGTAAACCAGGCTGGACTTGAACTCAGAGATCCACCTGCTTCTGCCTCCCAGTGCCAGGATTAAAAGGCATGGGATATCACACCCAGCTTAATTATTTATATCTCAAAAAAAATTTACATGCAGCTACAGGGGTGGAGGCTTGAACATGCCATTATACACATGTGGAGGTCAGAGGACAACTTTGAGGAGTTGGTTTTCTCCTTCCATTGTGTGGGTTTCAGGGACTGAACTTAGGTCATCAGGCCTGGCAGCAAATAGTTTTACTCTATGACCCACCTCACTGGCCCTACCTTCAACTTCTGATACTCTTGCCTCTACCTCTAGAGTCCTGGGATTATAGGTGTACCATGGCTGGTTTCTCTATATGCCTTTAATCTAGGATTTCTGAAGGCCAGTATATCTTTTTGTGCATCACAGTATGTCATTCTTGATTATGCTGCCTCAAAAATAACTCAAAAGGAAATAGAAACTGAAGGTTCTCACTCTCACAGGTAGAGTCTAAGATATCTGAGACAAGGATTATATCTACTAGGCCTGGTGGCTATACATTTCATAGACTCTTAAAGTCACTTCAGGGCCTGAGTTTTTCATTATAGTTCCTTTTCTAACTTGTTTGTGCCAGTTCCCTCACAAGAATGCCAGAAGTAAGGCACACTATGTTCAGCAGTCCCCTAAGACAAGAGATTCTTAAAGATCTATTAAATAAAGAACAATGAAGTTTATAAACACTCAAATAAATTTAACCATACACACCTTTAAGCTAGTCTTTTTAAAAAATATTTTATTATTTTTATTTTATGTATATGAGTGTATTCCCTGCATGTGAGTGCACCCATGTCATGCAATTCCGCGGAGGTCAGAAGGCAGCTTCGGATTCCCCTGGAACTGGAGTTAAGGACGGTTTGTAGCTGCCATGTGGGTGCTGGGAATCGAAACTGGGTCCTCTGCAAGAGCAGTCAGTGCTCTTAACCGCTGAGCCATCTCTTCAGCCCTAAGCTATTCTTATAAAGACTAATAACAGGGCTGGAGAAATGGCTTAGTGGTTAAGAGCACTGGCTACTCTTGCAGAAGACCCGAGTCAATTCCCAGCACCCACATGGCGGCTAATAACTGCCTGTAACTCCAATTTCAGGGGATCTGACGCCCTCTTCTGACCTCTGAGAGCATTGTACAACATGGGTGCATCTACCCATACAGAGGCAATATACACATTAACAATAAATAAAAATATTTAAAGAAAGTACTAATAGAAAAATTAGACAATCTGAAGATTTCTGTAAGTCTACCTTTTCCACAAATCTAAAATTATTTCAAATAAATATATATATTTTTTAAGACAGATCTTTCTATAGCCTCAGCTGGCCTGGAACTTGCTATGTAGACTAGGCTGGCCTTAATTTCAGAGAACCACTTGCCTCTGCCTCCCAAGTGCTGGGATTAAAGACCTATACAACCACACCTGTCTCCAGAATAAAAAGTTATTCAAGGGTTCCAAAGAAGTTAAGTTTTGCTATGGGTGCTTTTTGGGTGCTCACATGTGTAGGAGAGAGTATATGCACTTGTTAACATAGGTGTGTGCACATATGTGCAGATGGTTGAGCGTGCAGAGAACATGTACACATAGAGACCATAAGTTACGTCAAGTATCTTTCCTCCATCACCATGTACCTTTATTGAGATAGTGTCTCTTACTGCACCTAAAACTCAAGATTCTGCTAGTCCTACTGGTCAACCAGGTTCAGGGATCTACCTGTTTTTTCCTGTACCCAACCTCTCTTCCAGCACTGGGGATACAGGTATGCCATAATACCTAGCTTTTTACATGCGTTCTGGAGTTCTGATCTTGTGCAGCACTTTACTAAGCCATCTCTCCCCATCCCCAAGTTTTCTATTTTTTTTTTTTGTCTTTTTGAAGCAGGGTCTCCCTGTAGCCCCAGCTGTCCTGGAACTCACTATGTAGACCAGGCTGGCCTTGAACTCACAGAAATCCGCCCGCCTCTGCCTCCCAAGTACTGGGACTACAGGCGTGTGCCACCATGCCCAGCTCAGTTTTTGGTTTTTTGACAGGATATTACCAAGTACCGGGATTACAAGCATGTACTATACCAGTCAGGTCCTAATTTTCTGTTTTTGCTTGGTTTTTGTTTTTTCATTTGACAGTTTTTGAGACAGGGACTCACTATATATTAATCCTGAATGGCCTGGCACTTGTTCTATAGATCAAGCTGGCCTTGAAGTTACAGACATCCACATGCCCCAGCCTCCAAGTGCTGGGATTACAGGTGTGTACCACCATATCTGACATCTTTCAATAGACCTACTGAAAGGTATTTTAATTTACTTACATCATGTTCAAAGATAGTAACTAGAGGAAGGAATTATCTAAGTATCATGAGTTTACTACCCTGTGCAAAATTAAAGGTTCCACTAGATCTGTTCACTTGTGTAAGTAGCCCTGAGATGCAGACATTTTACTTGTCATTAAAAATACATTATACAAAAACAAAAAAAGCAAACGAAAACAAAACCACATTATATAAAAACATCCCAGGCATCTAACTTCAAACTCTTTAAAACTGCAAAATAAATAACTGGTTATTTTGTTGCCATCCAGGTAAACTTCTTGTCTGCTATAAAGCCTCATCTGCTGCTTCTCCTTCCCTAATATAGACTCCTCTTATCACTTTAAGACTAACACGATGGCATTCAACAAGCCAGACACCGCAGGTAAGCTCTATGTTGCATTGGGACCCAAGAAAGCAAAAAGCCCTACAGGTTAAATCTCACTTACTGAACAAGTAACCTGGAGCTGCTGCTGCTGTGGTGGTGGCGGCGTCTGTTCTTGGGGAGTTTGCTGTTGTGGCTGCTGCTGAGGGTCCCATATATGGACAGTCTGAGCCGTATTCTGATATGTACCTGCCACAGCCTGCACAGCCACTGGAATGTGGATGTTGCCATTCATGAACTGTGCTGGAAAGAGTGAGTTTGCAAGGGTCTGCACTACCTCTTCATGGGAGTTTTTTACTACAGACGTGGTGCCCACCATCTTCTCCTTGTCATCCTCCAGCTTTACAGCTGCCAGAGCTGTGGGTGAGCCACTGACGTGAACTGCATTGTAGGCTTCCTGGGGAATGGCAATGTGAGTGATGCTCTGCTGCTGAGGGTCACCCCGGGGCTGGGCAGAATAAACAGGGATGGTCCAAGTTTCTCCTGTAGGGCTAGTAATGGTCCCAGTGGCACTGTACAGATGGGCACTGTCTACTGTCAGTAAGTCTGGCCTCAAAGACACGTAACTCTGTTGCTGGCCCTGTGGAATGGCCAGCACGGTGGCCACTGGCTGCCCTGAGATGGCATAGGACACAGTGATGGGCATGTCCACTTTGCGTTTCTTCACTGGCTGGAGGACACTGGCTGTGCCAACCCGCCGTTCCCCTTCCCGGGGTGAGCCCTGCTGGGATGGTGGTGGGGAAAGGGCACCCACGGTCTGGATTTGGATCTGCTGACCCCCAGCAAGAGACTGGCCAGCCACCAGCTGAGCCTGGATTTGTTGATGTGGGATATGCTCCTCTGGGATTTCTGCAGCTTGGATCTGCTGGGCCGCCTGCACATGCTGCACCTGGATCTGGGCTGCTTGCAGCTGTGAGGGGCTAGGGCTCTGTAGAGACGGGGTCTGGATGGAGGGGGCTGCTGACTGTGGTGCCTGGCCTTGGATCTGCACCTGGACCTGGATGGGCTGCTCAGTAGGCTGGTGAACGGTGAACTGCGGGGAAAGCTGCTGAGCCGAGACCTGTTGTGGAGACTGCTGTACCTGCACCTGTACCTGCAGCAACAAGATTCACCAGTGAGTAAAGCAGGCAGCATGAGAATCCAACTTTCAAAAGAAAAATAATGTGAGGATGAGAGGCTCCTATAGAGTCAAGACTTCTGAGGTGACAATGCAAAAACCATACGGAAAATTCTTCAACATCATACTGAATTCAGAGTGATATACAACCATTTCAGAGTATAACAGAGGTCTAAGAAGGCAACACTAAAATTTTGAAGTTTTCCTTGAAAATGTGCCCTTCTGGTTTTTTTTTGCTTATTAGTAGAGTGGTCCAAGTATATAACCATAAGTAAATATTCAGGTATGTGTTGAAAAATAATTTTATCTACTAAATGAGTGATAAAGCATAGAGGTCAGGTAGGCATGGTAGTGCACGCCTTTAATTCCAGCACTGGGGAAGCAGAGGCAGGCGGATCTCTATGAGTTCGAGGCCAGCCTGGTCTACATAGTGAGTTCCAGGCCAGCTGGGGCAGCAGGGAGACCCTGTCTCAAAAAGACCAAAAACCAAACAAAAACAGTATAGAAGTCACATTATTATTGTATGTGATATGTATGTGGGGGGCACCTGTGCTATGGTGCAAATGTGGAGGGCAAGACAATTTTGTGGACTCATGTCTCTTCTCCTATCCTTCTGTGGATTCCAGTGATCAGACTCAGGCTGCTCAAGTTTGTGCTGCAAGCAACTTACCTGCTCAGCCATCTTACCAGCCTGATTTAGTGGGTTTTGATGGCATTTTTTTTTTTTACCTCCCAACACTGTGAGGAATCTCTTTTGTTCTATTCTTTTCAGTCACTGAAAATGAGGACAATAGAGCTGGGAATGGTGACACATAAAATCCCAAGCACTCATATGGCCAAAGTAGGTGACTGCTCCGAGTCTGAAGCCAGCCTAGACTAATGAGATCCAGGACAACATGGGCTACAGTGTGAGATTTGGTTGCAAAATAAAAAATAAAAATAAATAAAAAGAAAAAAGAATGAGGAAAATATATGTTCTCAAGAGCCTATCTTGTGGATTATTTTTACATCTTCTATTTCCATGTAATTTAGAGAAAAATAGAGTATTCAATATACAATCCTGATAAATTATCTTTTTATTCTTTTGGTCTTTTTCAGACAGGGTCTCCCTATAGCCCCAGCTGACCTTGAACTCACAGAGCTCGGCCTGCCTCAATACTGGGATTAAAGGCGTGGGCCACCACACTTGACCCTGATAAATTATCTTAAAGATCACAAACTTTCAAAGCAAAGTTCAACCCCAAATCATCAATGTCTTGAATCTTAAGAAACAAAAGTTTTGAGTAACTACAGAATAATTTTGAGCTGAAAAGTCAGTCTTATTTTACTCAATCTTCTGGCACTTTTCCTTTCTTACAGACTAAAAAAACTGTGATTATATCCCTCCCCTATGACAGGTTTTCTTGTCCATTATCTCATTTAGTCTCACAAACTGGTCTTTTTCCCTTTTTGACGGCTGAAGAAACCAGGGACTAAAAAAAAACTAAGATTATAGCAACAATTAAGCGATCAAGTGAAACTTATACCCAGGATTTCAGTACCAGAGCTGATTTTTTCCTAATATATCCCCTTGCGCCCATGATGTGTAGGGGGTCACACAGTCAAACCTTTTCTCACCGGACACACATCTCTACATTCCTTCCACTAGATCATGTTTCTTTCTCTCCTTTCCTATCTTTCTGATGTAAAAAGCATCTAGAATAAAATTAAACTCAACTACAGTCCAATGTCAAGAAACTCAGACTTGTAGCTAAAGAAGAATATTGTTTCACATAAAAACTTCTTTTTTTCTTTCTATTTGGTCTTTTTGAAACAGGGTCTCCCTGTAGCCCCAGCTGGCCTGGATTCATGATGAAGATCATGCTGGCCTCAAACTCATAGAGATCCTCCTGCCTCTGCCTCCTGAGTGCTAGGATTAAAGGCATGTACCACCACGCCTGGCTCACATAAAAATTTCTAAAAAAAAAAAAAAAGAAAAACCTTTGCTTTATCAGCCAATGTATTAGCTTTTCCTTCAGTAAGTTTGTTATTAATTAGCACTGTATGAGGCTAGTAATTAGAAAACACCAATCCAGAAATAGGTGATCTAAGTAAGATATAAAACATCAACTAAATGAAGATCATGAATATATCAGCCTGTTCATTTGAAAGTAAGTCCCAAATGCCATGCTTTCTGTAATGAGCCAAAACTAGTCTTCCTATTATCTCTCTCTGCTTGGGTTGACACAGACAGAAGGGAAGACTTGGCTTCATATAGCTGTCACATTCAAATTCAATCAAATTCTATACTGTTCCAACTTTCTTAAAGCAAATCAAGTATCCATAGCCTTTACAATTTACAGTGACTGAAGATATTTTTATTTATATTAAATATGAAAGATTCCCCTACCTTGGTAAAATAACATTCAACATCTCTAACATCTACTCTAATATAACAAAAGTTTATTAATAACCTGTAACTAAACATATTCCTTTTACCTGAACCTGCTGTGGCTGCTGAACCTGGATCTGCTGTTCTTGCTGGGTTTGTGGCTGAACACTGGTTGTGACTGGACAAGCAAGTTCAAGCAAAGACCCGGCAACTTCAGTGCTGTCTGTGTAAATGCAGTTCCCACCCTGCTGGTACACCATAGTGGTGGTGGCTGTCTGCTGGAACTCCTGAAGAGCTTCTGGTCCCTTAGAAGCCAGTGAGTCCAGAAATTCCTTCATCCTGTGTTGTGGGACAGATCGTGCCTTTACTCGAATGTACTCTTCAAACGAGATGGTGTTCTCCAGAGAATTATTCATATTGTAGAGTCCTTGGGGTTCCTAAAAACAAATGGTCAAAATTATGTTATTTTTTATCTCTTAAATTAAAAAAAAAAAAATTTGTGTGTGTGCATGCCCATGCCAGGACATGTATGTGGAGGTCAGAAGACAACTCACTTGAGCTAGTTCTCTACTTCCAACAAGAGGGGCTCAAGGATCGAGCTCAGGCTTGGTAACCTGCTGAGCTATCTACCAGCCCTCTTATTTGTAGACCTTGAAATAGACACAATCACCCTGGCAATGAAAATGGAATATCCAGGGAAGTTGTATGTATTTGGAATCCAAAGCCAAGTTCTATCATACCATCTTTATTTTTTTCCAATCAATTGTGATGTCTGAAAGTATTATTTCCATTAACATTGTTGTGGAGTTATTTTTAGTTTTAGATTTTTAATTTATTATTGTTGTATGTACATGATGTGTGTGGGCATGCATGCCACAGCACTCATGTGGAGGTCAGCAGACAATTTTGTGCAGTTTGTTCTATTATTTTTTTTTCACTTTTATGTGGGTTCTGGGGATGGAACTCAGGTTGCCAGGCTTACACATCAAGTGCCTCTTACCCACTGAGCCATTTCATTGGCCCTTTTGGCCAGGCTGCTCTAGAATTGTATGTAGCCCCAAGCTGGCTTTGAATTTGTGGCAATCCTCCTACCTCAGCCTTTCGAGTGTTTGGATTACAGATGTGAGCCAGTATGTCCATCTTCCTTTAACATTTCCTCTTTTTTTTTGGTCTTTTTGAGGCAGGGTCTCCCTGTAGCCCCAGCTGTCCTGGAACTCACAGAGATCTGTCTGCCTCTGCTTCCCAAGTGCTGGGATTGAAAGCATGCACCACCACGCTGGTTTAACATTTCATCTTAAACCAAGCTATCATACTAAAAAAAAAAAATAAAAACCATGCATTCTTTATAGTAGTACTTAATCGAACAGACTGAAATCACATCCTCCATCCGGCACTAGGCCAATTTCATCTTCTCTGTAGAGCCAAGTACTAGACAATAATTTAACATGCAAAACTGCTCTCTGACCATTATAGAGAAGACAATCAAAGAGAAGGAACACAGATTTCTACTGACATGTTTTATCTTCACTACTAGGTATGTCCTCATAGACAAGATATGCCACATAGCTATGGCAAGACTCAAGATAGGAGACATGGTCTTCACGTCCCACCAGAAAAAAAAAAAAATCTGGGCTTAGTGGTGCACTTCTTGCACACCTGTACACTGTACTCCTATAATCCCAAAACTTGGCAGGCTGAGGCAAGAGGATTCCAAGTTGGAAGCCAGTCTAAGCCACATGCTACACATTAATGAAACATGATCAAGAAAAAACAAGGGAAAGGGAGAGGAAAAAGGATGGAAAGACCAAAAATTTCATTTTGAAATAAACTGTTCACATTCTTTTGTTGATTAGCTTACTGGTTAAGAATATGGGCTCTGTTTCTGTTTTTCAGGGTTTTTTTGGGGGGAGGGGGCTTTTTGAGACACCCTGCAGCCCCAGCTGGCCTAGAACTCACTATATAGATCAGGGTGGCCTTGAACTCAGAGATCGGCCTGCCTCTATCTCCCAAATGCTGGGAATAAAGGCATGTACTAGCACACCTGGGGTTAAGAACATGGGACTCTTAAAAAAAAACTCTGGAACCAGACTGCCTGAGTTTCAAATCCCACCCAACCTAATTGTTTACAGTGTGACTGACAAATTGTGTAAACTCTCAGCAAATCAGTTTTTTTTCTTTCTTCCACTTCTATAATACTGGAATAAAATAGTACTTACCTCAGAGTTAACAAGAGAGAAAAAGATATTTATGTGTATATACATGTGCATATATGTATATATCTATATATGCACACATATGAATATTTGAAACATAAGGCAGTCTTTGGTTTTTTTGAGACAGGGTCTCCCTGTAGCCCCAGCTGGCCTAGAACTCACTACACAGACCCAGCTGGCCTTGTATTCACAGAGATCCATCTGCCTCTGCCTCCCGAGTGCTGGGATTAAAGGCATGGCGTGATCAAAGGCACACCCAGCATGAAGTGTTAACTATTTTTATTGAGATAATTGTGAGGAGGGAATTGAATAATATCTTAAATAATTAAGTGACTACTAAAATCCAGCAATGAATTCTGTATATTTTTTTCATCAACAATTTAAGAATTGACATGAGGGGCTGGAGAGATGGCTCAGTGGTTAAGAACACTGACTGTTCTGAATCCCAGCACCCACATGGCAGCTAACAACTGTCCATGGCACCAGTTCCAGGGGATCCGAACGGACTCTTCTGTCCTCTGCGGGCATTGTACAACACAGGAGCACTTACCTACATGCAGGCATAACATTCATACACATAAAATAAAAAAAAAAAAAAAGAAGGAATTGACATGAGCCCAGGCAGTGTCACAGTCCTGTAATCCCACAATTTAGGAGGCTAAATCAGAAGGATCATGAGTGTTAAGGTCAGCTTGGGCTATTACACAGCACAAACCATGTCTCAAAGACAAAAACAGGATATAGCTCAGTGGATAAGAGTTTAGTACACATGGAAGCCCTGGGTTCAGTCCCCACGCTGCATAAAAAAAGGCATGGTGGTGCAGGTCTGTAATTCTAACACTCAGGAGGTAGAGGCAGGACGATCAGAAGGTCAAAGTTGTCTTCAAGGACAGCATGACCTACAAGAGACCACGTAAATACAAAAGTGCCAATAAAATGGTTCATCTGATAAAGGTGCCTGCTGACAAGCCTGAGGAGGTGAATTGTCCTCTGACCTGCATACCTATCATGGCATACATGTGCCAAAACTACACATACACACACACACACACACACACACACACACACACACATACACACACACACACAGAGTAAGCAAGCAAGCAAGCAAGCAAACAAACAAAAACAAAAAGAATGTCCTGAAGAGATGGTCAGTAACTCTCATTTTATCCAGGAGATAATCATGCAATCAATCTAAGGACACCAAGTGACCTGTCAATGCTGCCTTTGCACCATCTTCCTTTGGGCAGCACCATCTCAGAACACAAGCAGCAGCAGATGAAAGAGTAACACAAACCAAGTGAAGTTTCTTGCCAAAAAGAACTCTCGGGTAATGTCAAATGTCTGGAAAAGTTATTTATTTCCTTGAGCCATCAGGCAAAAAGCAACAAACACCACCAACAAAAAACAAAAACAGAACACCACATATACCCTTATTCTACGAAAAAATTTAGAATTTTCAGGCCACTACCTTCAGGAGGGAATCTGCTTCTCAAGAAATCCCTGTTGACAGCCTCTTACCTTCTGAAACACTGATTTTATTGTTCTGATTTCTACCTTATGCTGCATATTTTAGGTATGTGGGTATCTTCCTTCCACCTGGCTCTAAACTCCTGGCAGACCAAACTATGTCTTGTACCTTTCTAAATAGTTCACATATGGCAGGTACTTCCTCCATACCTTTTACATGTAGAATTCAATGTGGTACAGGAAGAATTACAATTCTTTCACCCTGTAACATCTATAACATACAACCACAAATCGAACAATCTAGTTGTATACACTAGGAAAAAGATGTATGCTAGTTTTCCCTAATAAATAGTTAGTATACACCTCTGGTAAAACACATTCAGGTCAAGGGTGAAACAAAAGAAATACATGGTCTCAGCTAGTCTTAATAATACCTACTCTTAGATATTAATTTACTGACATTGTCAATATTTCTGTGGGGCACTATATAAGGATTAGTACACAAATTATACTTAGGTGCTTTCAAATATAACAGACCCAACATAGACTTTTTATAATGATGCATATGTTTCTCCATAAACATATTAACACAGGGCTGGAGAGGTAACTCAGCAATTAAGAGCACTTGTTACTCTTTCAGAAGATCTGAGTTCAAGTCCCAGCACCCATGTCACATGGCTTACAACCACCAGGGGATCTAATGCCTTCTGGTCTCTGTGGAGATTCCCATGAACGCATATATACAGGTTGTTCTCTGGTTCTCTGTCTACCAATTTTAAAGTTACCACCTAAGAGAATTTGAGTTATTTAACTCCCCTCTCCCCTTCTCCTAATCTTTTTAGTTTTGCAATGATCAATTTCACAACCTGAAATCAAATTTAAACTCAAACTTTATCTTTTTATTATTTTTATTTTATGTGTTTGAGTGTATTTTGCTTGCATGTAGGTAGGTGCACCCATGTTGTGCAATGCCTGCAGAGGTCAGAATAGGGCATTGGATCCCTTGAAACTGGAGTTATAAAAAGTTGTTAGCCGCCATATGGGGGCTGGGAATCAAACCTGGGTCCTCTGCAGGAGCATTCAGTGCTCTTAAATGCTGAACCATCTCTCTAGCCAATAAACTCGATTTTTTTTTTCTTTTTTTGGTCTTTTTAAGTCAGGGTCTCCCTGTAACCCCAGCTGGCCTGAACTTGCTCTGTAGCTCAGGCTGGCCTTGAACTCATAGAGAGCCACCTGCCTCTGCCTCCAGAGTGCTGGGATTAAAGGCATGCACCACCAATGCCAACAAGCTGTCCCTTGGCCTAAGCACACAACACACCATGGAACACACCCACATACAAAAATATATGTAATAAATTTAAATAATAAAAAGCATCTTCTAGGGCTGGAGAGATGGTCCAGTGGTTAAGAACACTGGTTGTTCTTGCAGAAGACCCAGGTTCAAATCCCAGCACCCACATGGCAGCTAACAACTGTCTGTAACTCCAGTCCCAGGGGATCTGACAGCCTCTTCTGACCTCCTTGGGCAATGCAAGACACAGGTGCATTTACCCACATGCAGGCAATACATGCATACACATAAAAAAAAAAAAAAAAAAAAAAAAAAAAAAAAAAAAAAAAAGCATCTTCTATCTTAAGCATTGAAACTCATTCTTGGGTAGAGATGTACCATAATGTGATGCACAAGGACCTGGGTTCTAACCCCAGCACGCACGTGTACACACACACACACACACACACACACACACACACAC